ATATATACTCACATATATATATATATATATACTGCATATACTGTATATATATATATATATACTGAATATATATACTGTATATATATATATATAATGAACTAGGGAGGGCAAAAGATTTTTTTTTTTTTAATGAGAGGAAAACTGCGGTGAACAAAAATGGTGAAACAGCTATATGGACCTATCATATACTTGGAAAAAAAAAACCTATATTGTGTATATTTCAATAATATAAACAATATAACTGATCAAAATGCAGCTAAAACCTACTGTAGATATTCCTTGCATGTGTCCTGTTCAAAGAGCAGCTGCAATAATCAGTATCTTTAGCTGTTTCACACTCTGATCATCACATTGTTCTCTTGAGCTCATTGGTTCTTGGTGGTGTCCCACTCTCATGTAACCACTTCCTCTTGTTCCTGTCTGCAGACTCTCTGAGTTTGATCAGAAGTGCTTGAAATGTTGAAGGGAGAGTGAGAGGTTCATTTCTACTTGCTGCTGTCATGGTTTTTCAAACTAGGATCCTGCATCTGAATTTGAGTGTCATCCTTACTTTGCTGACCAATGCAGGTATGTTGTTACATTGTTTTTTGTCATTGTTTGGTTTTGTGTTGTGTGATGTTCTTGTGACAGTTAACAGTGACTAAGGACATGATCAGCAGGTGTGTCTCATCAGCTTGTGCATGTGTGTTTTCACACGTTTGTCTTACCGCCTGATTTTTTTTCTTCAGATTATTCCAAATCCAATCAAGAGCCAATTATTAAGCAGCACATCAACAAAACAGTGTTTGTGGGGGAAACAGTTACACTTCACTGCAACAAAACCCAATATGATGATGATTTCACATGGAAAATGAACAGCTTTGTTATTTTTAGGCAGGACTCTGAAAGTAACAGAACACTGAGAAACTTTAGCTCAAACAGGATTCACATCGACCCAGCAGCTCCAAGAGAATTAACAATACATCAAATACAAGCATCTGATGCAGGAAACCTCAGCTGTTACCCAGCAGCAATAAGATGGACATTAACAATAACAGGTTATTATGTGATTTTACCTATGGATTCTTTAATATAAAACTAGTTCAGTGAAGCAACTATAAGTGTGGTTTTAACTAGTGACTAGTAACCATTAGAGTCTTGGTTGGCATCGTGAATATTTGACTCTTTTGTATCTGTCAGAAATCCAGATCAGATCAGAATCACTCAAACAAATGCCGTTGTACATCATCATTTCGTGTTCTGGAGTCATTATGATCTGTCTAATTATCACAATCAGCATCTGCATTCACAGGTGAGAGACTTAAACCATGATGAAGTAATGAGATTGTTTATTTATTGCAGGTTTCATTAACTATTCATATGTGCTATTAAACACATCATATTTTCATGAGTATGGATATATTTCATTCTCCAGCTTTATTGCGTTATCTCTGCTAATTTAAAACACATCAAAGATGAAAGTGATGAGTAGAGAGATGGAACGCTGAGAAAATCTAATTAATATTTGTTTAATTTAAATTTGTGAAATTATATTTATATTTGTTTTATTAATATTTGTGTAATTAAACATGAAAATGTAAGAACAACAAGCTATTTTCAAATACAGTAAAAAAAATTATAACATGTGATATGTTATATTTAAAGGAGATGTAAAAACAGCATACAGAGTCACAGAGAAATGGGACAGGACTTTGTAAGTTTTTCCCTTTGCGTGAATAGTTATAAATTATTTTCATTCAAACAATATTTCCTTAGATCAATAAGTAATGGAGTTTAATTTATCTTTTCCACTTTAGTCACAGGCACCGGTGAGAGGAAGGATACAGACTCAAAACAGTCAGTACTTGGAAAGATATAACTCGGTGTATGGACAAGTATGAAATTATTATTTTTGTTCATTTTTTCCCCCTAGAAAATGTTTAGTAACAGTTGTATGCGATTAATATAAAAAAGTGAATGAAAAAGCTCTATAATGTACTTATTTGTATTTTATGTTTGCTTATTTATGTGTACATTCTAAAGGCATAGTTCATGCAAAAATGAAAATCCTGTCATCATTTATTCACTCTCGCGTTTGAAACCCTCGTTTGAAACCTGTAATGACTTTCTTTCCTCTGCAGAACATAAAAGAGAAACATCAGAGTGTTTTTTTATTTTTGTCCAGTCAGTGGTCACCGATACTTTCTGGTTACCAACATTTAGCACCATATCGGTAGCACTTTAGTATAGGGACCAATTCTTACTATTGACTAGTTGCTTATTAGCATGTGTATTACTACACTGTAAAAAAAAATCTGTTAAATTTACGGTAAAATACCGGCAGCTATGGTTGCCAGAACTTTACCATGAAAAATACAGTAGCAACATTTTAGGTTTTACAGAACTGTTTAAATTTACAGTGAAAAATTGTATTTCATTAACTGATACAATGTTAATATGCAAACCTTCGAGTTATCTAATTTTATTTGCGGAAACCGACTGCACTTAATTTGGCCAATTGTCATTTGTTTATAAACTAATATTTATAATGTTTAAGAAGCACAAACATATTGGTCTTAAAAACTATTTTCATAAGTCCATGAAGAAAAACCTACTGATTTATGCAAAGTCATTAAAAGCATCAATTCAACTCAAATCTCTTGCAGATAACAGCAGCACACATTCATGTGTGATCGAAATTATTGAAGAGATTCATACTGCATCAGTAACTACACAGTTACTGCCTTTAAA